TCTCCACTCATCTTGTACTCTTAATCTAATCTCGTTGTTCTCCTTTCTCTTTCCCACTCTAAGTTCTCTTGACTCTCCGTTCCCGGCTCCTCCCTCGACTTAATTGTTTCCATCTTCTGTTATCTTATCTCGACTCTTTCCCCTGTTGGTTAACCGACTTCCCCGGCTCTGCTTCCATCCCCGGGACTCGCTAAGTCCCCACGTCCGACTTTCTCTTGATCCCCAGGACTCGCTCGCCCACCGGCGCTCGCTTGTCTCATTCTCTCACACCCACAGGACTTGCGCCAACCCCCAGCACTCGTCCTTCACCCTCCCCGGCACTCGTCTCACCCACCGGCGCTACCGGCACTCTTCCACGCACCACCCCCCACCCCGCTTCGGTCTCCTACACCTCGCGCTCCTCCCGGTGCTCTGTGTTTGTACACGGTGAATAACCGTAAGGTGGTTCGCCCAGTAGACTGAGCCCCCGTGGTCAGCAGAACCTGACACAACCCCTCCAAACTTGAGCACTCAATTCTCCCTCATTTTGGACAGAAAGAAAGCAGACTGTACATTATCAAGGTTCAATTAACTCATATTCCAAATCCCAGGTTGCACAAAGGTGTGGAAGGGGGTTCAATCATAGAGTTCATTGACTGGGTGTTCTGAACATGTGGGGGGTGATAGTACAGGTTTTCGAAGGTTTTCGACGTGTCGATCTGTCACGTGTCATGAAAACAGTCAATCACGTGACAAGAACCTTGGTCTAATTTGGGTCAAAGATTAGATTATTGCAACCCATCACTATATCACATTTTATCTCTTCAAGGCTCGATTTCACTCAATTCATTCACGTTCCTTTGTTCCCATCACATTTAAATATCTGTGGGCGCAGTGGCGACGACCCTCATCAGCTCACACTGCGCTTGCAGACTCGACTGATTAGATACCCACAATATGTCATGTGTTGTCGTTTTGATCCCCACCCACCGTCCCTATTCCATAATATTCCATTCTACTCTACTCTTTACATACACACACTCGCTCCTATTTAGTCCCTCGTGTTAGCTTGAGTTTCGGCCCCCCTCCTCTCTTGAGAGGAGGACCGGCGCTCGAGAACTCTCAGGACTCAAGAAATACAATTTCTTTCCCACAGCGCACGGCCCCTCTCATTGAGCAATCTCTCTTATCTAATACTCTCAAGTCTTATTCTCTCAACACCTTCGCTCATCCGCGCTTGACAGATCCGAAATAATAGCGTATTCTGGGCTCAAAAAAGTCAAGATTATAGTGTATCTGAGGGTCATTTCAGGGTAACTTTGAACAGACCTATAGGGGAGCTTTTCGGGGCCTGTGGTTTGGGTTTTGACGTAAGATGACGAACTATTACTATAGAGGTGTATATTTTCTGTCAACACGGAATAATGGAATTAGAAGCGAAAAAGAGATTATTACAATCAGACATAATACATTGTGCATTAAGGGGGAATCGAACCCCCGGCGGGTCGAGATAATGAGAATGGCAACGACCCAGGTTACCACTACCCCATTAATGCCCTTTCGGTAAGTATAAACACCGCGTAATGGGCCTATAAACTTAACTGATTTCTGTTTCTGACGGGTGCTACAACAGGAGCCTTTTCGGAGGCCCCGGCACAATAACGTTTCACCCAATCAGCAGCCCGCTCCGCGCCGATCTCATCACACCACCTGAAGCCGTTCTCGGCATGGTGCCACAGTTTGGCAGATGCTGTGTCAAGGACAGTAGGGCCGAGGGTGTCTCATCTTTCTTGCTGCCTTCCATCATATTGTTTCTGGTGGCACTGGTGAGCGTTCGCGCTCTCTCACATCTATTTTCAGGTCTAGACCTTATTTTTGCAGAGTCTTTCTATTTGTTACTTTACTTCTTTCTAATTGTTTTCACGACTCTGCGAAAAATAAGGTGAGACATCACACCGTCGATGAGAGCATTATCTCATCTTCCACCCAGTCTTTCGAGCGCACGTTCCAGCAAGTTGTTTCCACTCTCGAAAGTACTTAGTAAGCCCGCAGCCTGGCATGCTGCGCTTGGCTCGCTCACCAGTTATTCACTCACCATTCATTCAGATTCCATATCTTCGTATAATTATTTTGATCAACCCGCCCTCCACTCCCTGATATACATGTATTTTACACTACTCTTTCATACTTTCTGTTCTGTTTCCTACAAATATGCAGCTACCGGCAACTCGCCTCAATACACCTGTTTCACGTGGCCTACGGGCCGGTTGGCGCTACTCCTTCTTCCTCCCTCTCCGGTAAAAGTTGCAGAGGACAACAGAACACGACAAGAAAGAAACAAGACGGCTGCGATTTGTGAAGAAATGTGACATACTAAAGTATCATAATGTCGTTCTTTTCCGCCAATGTTCCTAGACTTGGTGTCGGTTACCCAGACAGCAGACATCAAGAAGTCAACAATCTCCCTGTCACTGAATTTCAGAGTCAATTTCGTCCAGCACGCTCGATACGTTTTGAGTATGCTTTGATTTGTTCTGGGTCCAGGCCCGGCCTCAAATCCTCAAATTTTTCGAATACAAAGACAATCAGGTGTGGGAGCCTGGCAACTGTAGACGGGAATGATGCTTTCGTCTCAAGGAATTTTGTGAGATGTTCTAGGGAGTTGACGCGGCGAATGGAAATGCTGAGCGTTTGAAGGTTGGGTAGGAGAATTCTCTGCGTGATCTTCTTTATAGTCTCATGGGAGAAAACGGCGTCTGTTGCTTGGAGCGTATGGAGGTAAGGTAGTCACTCGAGCTCTCCTTTCGATATATTCCCTCTGTAGTTTTTCAGAATCAGTGTATGGATGCAGGAGCCTGCATGGCGGACGACCCCTCCAAGATCAGGTTTTATGAGAGTTGCAGGCAGCTCCAATAATATTGCAGTTATAGTGAGTGATTTAAGCACGGGTGTTATCAGACAGTCCATGAGTGAAAACACATCGTTGTTGACGTCTCGGGATGCTCGACAAGATGTCAAATGAAGATTGGTCATGTGCGAGAGGTGCACAGTCAAAGGGCTGGGTATGGAGATGTCGCATACATGAATAATGGACTTTTGAAGTTTTGAAGGCTCGTGCATTGAAGAGTTCGACTGCCTGTGGTATGCTATCTTCAGATATGTAATGTAAGGTGGCCCACGGTGATGTTGCCTGTGTAGGCACGCTATCATTAACAAGGCAATAAAAACGGACAGTGAGGGCACACAGGTTCTCCATTCCTACCGAACAAGAGGAGCCAGAAGAAGCATATGACGGGGAAGACAAGGATATCTGAATCTTTCAAGAAGGGAGAAGAATGCGTTGGCATTTCGAGGAACTATTCCACCTCATCAATTCCAAGGAGGCGAATTAGTTCACGTTCGCGATCGCACCGTACTGTGAGCAGGTGTGAGTCAACGACAAAGTTATCCATCCAGAACTTGACAAAGGCTAGACCATTTTTCCTCGACCGACTCGACCGAAAACGGAAGAAAGCAAGATACCAAAAGAACGGATTGGACCTGCAAATGTTCTCCAGCGAGAGCAGACATGCGAAAATGTCAGAGGTTCATACTTGAACGAAACCCCACAGACGAGGAAGTCATATCTAAAAATGATCGACGTAAACGCGGGTTCCAAGGGTAAGGAGCGTTTCCGGAGGCCTCTGAGTGACAAGCTCCGACCCCTTCCA